TACCATCCTTCACACCTGCTATGACACCACCTTATTTTCTCTTTCTTTTCTTTTCTTTTCTCCCACCCTTCCTTCTCTACTTCCTTCCTTCCTCTTCTCCTTCCCCTTCTTCCTTCCCTTATTTCTCCCCTACTCCTACCCTCTGTCTTCTCCTTCCCTACCCTCTCTCCTTCTCTCCTTCTCTCTTCCTCCCTCCTCTCCTTCCCTCTTACTTCTTCCCCTACCTCTCCTCCACATTTCACCTTATTTTCTCTTTCTTTTCTCCCTCCCTCCCTTCTCTACTTCCTTCCTTCCTCTTCTCCTTCCCCTTCTTCCTTCCCTTATTTCTCCCCTACTCCTACCCTCTGTCTTCTCCTTCCTACCCTCTCTCCTTCTCTTTTTCTCTCTTCCTCCCTCTTCTCCTTCTCTCTTTCTTCTTCCCCTACCTCTCCTCCACATTTCACCTTGTTTTCTCTTTCTTTTCTCCCTCCCTTCCTTCTCTACTTCCTTCCTTCCTCTTCTCCTTCCTTCTTCCTTCCCTTATTTCTCCCCTACTCCTACCCTCTGTCTTCTCCTTCCTACCCTCTCTCCTTTTCTTTTTCTCTCTTCCTCCCTCCTCTCCTTCTCTCTTTCTTCTTCCCCTACCTCTCCTCCACATTTCACCTTATTTTCTTTTCTTTTTTCCCTCCCTTCCTTCCTCTTCTCCTTCTTCCTTCCCTTACTTCTCCCCTACTCCTACCCTCTGTCTTCTCCTTCCTAGCCTCTCTCCTTTTCTTTTTCTCTCTTCCTCCCTCCTCTCCTTCTCTCTTTCTTCTTCCCCTACCTCTCCTCCACATTTCACCTTATTTTATCTTTCTTTTCTCCCACCCTTCCTTCTCTACTTCCTTCCTTCCTCCTCTCCGTCCCCTTCTTCCTGCTGCTTCTGAAGTGGCATGGAAACGTTTCCACCGGAGCTCCCTGCCTAAAGAACCAGCCAGTTCTGGGGGGAGGAAGGACAGAATTGGCCCCCAGCTCTCTGGCAGTGCCAGGCGGAGAGGCAGGGGAACCAGGGGGACGGAGGGACAGCGAACCAGGCCCTGCAACGCCCCTGCGAAGAGCCACAAAACAGCAGGCCTCCCCTCGTTCTGAGGATACGCTGCTGCTGCTGATGGAAGTTCCACGCAGCTTTCCCAAACAGCTACTATTCTCCCGGTAATCCTCGGCTTACGACCACAGCCGAGCCTAAAACTTTCATTGCTAAGCAAGCCAAGTTGTGAAATGGGTTTCGCGAGCATTTTATGACAGTCGTTAAGCGAATTGCTCCGGTGGTTAAGTGAATCGTACAGTCATTAAGGGAGTCGGCTCTCCCCCCCCCACCCCATTTGACTTTGCTTGTCGGAAACCAGCTGGGACGGTTACACATTGCGTTCACGTTTCTGCGGGACGCTGAGACCGTCATAAATATGAGTCAGTTGCCTGAATTTTGATCCCGTGACCACAGGAACGCTCCAACCGTTGTAAGTGTGAAAACTGGTCGTAAGTCACTTTTTTTCAGGGCTGTCGTAACTTCGAACGGTCACTGTACGAATGGTTGTTAAACCTGTCATTATTAAGGTCCGTGAAAACAGAGGTCCCTTATTCCAGTGTTTCTCAACCTTGGCCACTTGAAGATGCCTGGACTTCAAGTCCCAGAATTCCCCAGCCAGAATTCCCCAGCCAGCGAATGCTGGCTGGGGAATTCTGGCTGGGGAATTCTGGGAGTTGAAGTCCAGACATCTTCAAGTTGCCAAGGTTGAGAAACACTGCCTTATTCTATCCCTCTTCCCCAACCGGGTGTCCTCCCAGGGGGTCAGACTATAATTCCCCCCCCCCAAAAGGAGGGGTTTCAATTGTACGGCCATGCCCCCCTTGACCTGTTGTGACCAGAGGACAGTGGGGTGGGGGGCAGAGCTCCTGGGGTCTCCAAAAGGGAAACGGTCAAGAAGGGATAAAGGAACCACGAATGGAGAAGAATCAGAAGAATCCCTTGAACTAACCACGGTTTAGCCAGGATGCCCAGGGCCTCCAGCTCCCAACCCTGCCCGTACTGGATCCCAGATCCCAGATCCCAGGCCTCGATATGGAGCATTTGCCCTCTTTCCTTCAACTTTCTGAGCGGTGCTTCCAATCCAAGCTGTCCAACCGGTAGAGTTCTGAATCCCAGGCCAGGATTGCAAAGCGCTCATATTAAGCCCTTTCTGAAGTTGGGAGTTTGGGATGGGAGTCCTGGCGCCAGCCTCCCCGGGGAGGGGGGAATTTGGGAGTGGGGGGGGGGGTCCCAAGCCAAGGCATGCAGCGGGCGACAGGTTGGAGAAGGCAGCTGATCCGTCCGGGACGGCTCTCCTCTGCTTTCGCCTCCGATCCTTCATTCCCGTCGTCGGCCAGCAGGGGTCGCTAAAAGAGAGTTTCTCCCTGGCTTTTGCAAGGCTCCCGGTTGAGTTGCGCAAGACCCCCCGGGCCATCCAGGCGCTGCGCTTCGGATTCCTGGGGACAGGCAGAGGTTCAACCGGTGAGGCTCCTTCCTTTTCTTCCTTCCATGCTCCCAACACCCCCTCCCCCAACCATCTTCAACTCCCAGAATTCCCGAGTCAGCTTTGCTGGGGGGGCTTCTGGGAGTTGAACTCCACAAGTCTTAAAGTTCCCCAAGTTTGGACACCTCTGATCTATAGTTTCATTTCTCTGCTGGGTTGGGGGCTTTCTCCCCTCCGTCCAGCAGCGGGAGAGACCCCTGCCCCCAGCCTCTCCTGATGGCCTTCCAGCCTTCCTCCATCCCCCGGCCGAGCCGTTGTTCCGCGGTCCCCGGCCAGCCCTGCGCTGCGACCCCAACCCAGCCCGCTTCTCTGGGGTGGGTGGGGGCAAGGGCGATTTGGGTTTTTTCCAACTGGGGGCGTCCTCATCCTTGGAGGGAGGGGGCAGCTCCGTAGAGGCTGAATCCAGCTTTCCCCTGGGGGGGGGGAACAAGGAGCAGGCTGTAAATGGGGTAGGGGGTCGTCGGGGGGTGTCAAAAACCGTGGGAACGGTGCCCTGGCGTGGGGGTCGCCTTTCAACGCCTCCACCTTGTTTGGGGATCCCTGATCCTTCTTCTTAGAGATCTCCCCTAGCCCGACTTTGGACGTGGGGAAGGGGATGGGGGTCCTCTCCGGCCAGCTAGCAGCCCACCCCTCGGCTGCCCAGCCGTCGCGACCCTCTAGACGCTGGGAAGGGTGCCCGTCCAAGCCAGCCCTTCCGCGGCTTCTGGATCGGAGGAGGTGGGAGAGCAGCCCCCGACCTGGGTGGGTGGGTGCGCGTTGCGCAAGAGCCCCCAGGCGGGTCCCCGAGGGTCAGCGGGATCCTGAGCCCGAGAGAGCCGGGGCGTGGCGGGGCGGGGCGGTGGAGGGTAGACAGAAGCCCGCCTGCCTATTGGCTTCCCCCCCCCCCGGGGTGGGGGCGGCCAGACTCCCCCCCAGTCCCCGCCCGCCCGTTGCCGCAGCTCAGCCCCGCCGCTTCTGCAGGCAGCGCCGGACGGCTCGGATGCTCGCGGGTTCTCTCCGACCCTCCCGGCCAGCCCAGAAGAGGCGGAGGAGGCGACCCCTCGACCCAGCCACCCTTTGGGACGGCGCCCCCCACCCCACCCGGACCCCAACCGCCGGAGGAAAGTCGGAACGCCCCAGGAGCGGACTTCTGCTTTCTGCCTTCCAAGTAGGCGCAGGTATTCCGCTCTTCTCCTTCCCGGGGGGATGCTGTCAAGCTGCTAGTCCTCAGTGAGGAGCTCTCCCACTAGGAGTCCGTTTTCTTGCTGCTTCTGACTCTCCGGCTGCTGCTTTCTTGACCTTTTTCCAAGCTCTCCTCTGGACAACAGAAGCCGCTTGGGGGGCTCCCTCCCCCTCCAGGTTCCTGGCAGGGTGGTCTCCCCTGCCCCCCCCCCATCGTGCCAATGTGCCCGACTCGGAGCCCCGGCTTCCCTGGCAGCCTGCCCCGCCAGTGCAGCAACCTTACCACCCTGCAGACGGACAGCAACCCCACCCTCAGCTCCTTCATGTTTGCGGCCGGGGTGGTGGGTAACCTGGCAGCCTTGGCCATCCTGGGCGTCCACCAGAAAGAACAGAGAGCCAAGACCTCGTCTTTCTGCATCCTGGTGACCGGCTTGGTGGTCACGGACCTGGCGGGCACCTGCGTGGTCTCCCCTCTGGTCTTCATAGCCTACTCCTGCAACTCCACGCTGGTGGGCATGGCCGGGGGCCGGGACTGGCTGTGCAACCTCTTCGCCTTCTCCATGATGTACTTCAGCCTGGCCGCCATGTTCCTCCTCTGCGCCATGGCGGTGGAGCGGTGCCTGGCCATCAGCTACCCTTACGTCTACTCGCAGCACCCCGTCCGGCGGTGGGTCAAGCTCTGTCTGCCCCTCACTTACGTCTTCAGCGGCCTCTTCTGCGCCCTGCCCTTCCTGAAGGTGGGCAAGTTTAAGCAGTACTGCCCGGGCACCTGGTGCTTCGTCGAGATGGACAAAGATATGGTCGTGGGCTACAGGGACGTGGCCTTCTCCCTGTCCTACGCCACCGTCATGGCCCTCCTAATCGTGGCCATCTTCCTCTGCAACGGCCTGGTCATCGTCAGCCTCTGCCAGATGTACCAAAAACAGAGGCGTCGCCGGAGGGGGTCCCTGGGCACCAGCCAGCGCCGGAAGAAGGGCTGGTTCAGCCGAGGGGAGGAGGAGGTGGACTACTTGATCTTCCTCGCTCTCATGACGGTCATCTTCGTCATCTGCACGTTGCCCCTCACGGTAGGTGCGGCACCCCCCCAACGGGCGCAGTCAGCAGCGGTGGAAGGGCTCACGTAAAGGGGGGCAGCCTGTGTTGGAAGAGATGGGGAACTCCTGGGGAAAGAGAGAGAGTTTGGCGCCCTGGTGAAAGTGTCAGACTAGAAAGCGGGAGACTGGGAGTTCTAGTTCTGCTTAAGCCACGCCGGGTGACTCTGAGCCAGGCACTTTCTCTCAGCCCTAGGAAGGCGGTAATGGCAATACGCTTCGGACAAACCTTGCCAGAGAAACCGCAGGGACTTGTCCATGGGGAATTCTGGGAGTTGGAAGCCCACCCCTCTTTAAAAAGGTCCTTAGAATGGTGCCTGGGAATTCTGGGAGTCGGAAGCCCACCCATCTTCCCGTGGCCAGTGTTGAGGAACACTTTCCTGGCCTAAGGCGTGGTGGCGGCACCGTCCTTCCTTTGAAATCTTCCATCAGCCCAATGCCTGCTCATCGTATCTTGTTCGATGCAGCCCAGAGCCGGCATTGTGGAGGAGAGATTCCAGAAAAAAATGGTTTTACCAGCCGGGAGCAGATCCTTCTCCTTCCCAAGACCCTTTTTTTTAATAGCCTCTGCGGCTTCTCTGTGACTTCCTTCGCAAGAGCCACAATTATCATCAGAGGCCAAAAACGGAAAGCTGTCCTTACCACTTGCCTTGTTTTCCTTTGATGCTATCTCTCTCCCCCCCCTTTTTTTTGGAAGTATATAATCCCCCAGAATCAGGGTGGCGGGTGGGGGAGAACAGGACAATCTGCATTCTTCCTTCTTCAATTCCCTTCTGCCAGCCGTCTCTCTGGCGGAGAAGAAGCGCCCTTTCGAGAAAGGAATAACAAGCGTGTGTTGTCCCCTCTTTCAGGGCGGCGAGAAATGGGAAATATTTCCACCTGTCCAAAAGCGTCACCCGAGGATCTTTTGCAGGGAAAGGCTTAACGCGGAGCCAGTTTGTTAAGACCGAAATCCAAAAACGAAGCGTTTCGACGCACGAATTTTAACCCTAGGATGGGGGAAAAGGTGTAGGATTATCCAACTTTCAGCGCTCGGTGAAATTAAAAACGGGGCAAAGTGAATTAAAAAAATGAATTGATGAGTGAATTAAAAAAAAGAGGGCGGGACAAAACTCACTTAACAAGCGTCTCGCTTAACAACAGGCTCCATTGTGTTTGTAAGTCAAGGATTACCTGTATCTATGCATATATTTAGTTTATTTTAGTTTACTGTCACTGCACCTCATACAACGAAATTAAACGCCATCTTCAATGTACAACTGTAAAAATAAAAACGCAGACACACGTCCTTCACATGCTGTCTAATTAGAATTGAAAACCCGATATTGCATTAATATTGCACTTTGCCGTAGATTTCAATATAGTTACTGCCCTGGGATAGAAGCGTATATTTACTTATTAAATGTACCACATTTTTCGGAGTATAAGACGCATCTTTCCCCCCTAAACAGGCATGGAAATGTTGGTGCGTCTTATACACCAAATACATTTTTGGCTTCCTGAAGCCCCACAAAAAAATGAGTAAAAAATCGCCCATTTTTCATAAAAACGGGGGCATTTTTGCCTTCCCCCAGGACCCCAGAAGCACTCTGCAGGCTTCTGCAGTTTTTGCAAAAAACGGCCCATTTTCCACCCATTTTTTGCAAAAACGGGGGCATTCTTGCCTTTCCCCAGCCCCGCTGAAGCCTGCAGAGTGTTCCTGGGGGCCAAGGAGGACAAAAACTTTTTTTTTCTTACTTCCTTCTTTGAAATCTTGGTGCGTCTTATACCCCGGTGCGGTTTATAATCCGAAAAAATACGGTATATGCTACCCATCTCACTATCCTAAGGGACACTTTCTAGAGATGTAAATATATATTCTCGAATATAGCTTGGGAAACGTTCTCCTCTCTTGGACGTAGAACCCTTGCCTAGGGGCAACCATCTCTCCTTCAACCACTCCTGCTTACACACATCCTTGTCTACAATAAAAAAGGGATTCTTGGTAAGCTGAATTTCCCTGCTTTCTCTTTGTCCTCCTGCCCCCCTCCAACATCTGGGGTCCTGGTGCCCCTTGTCTAACTATGTGGGTGAGTTGTCAGCAATTTCTCCCATCAGTAGCAGGGAGATAGCAAGGCGGATGTCCTTATCTTTTCCCTGCAAGGTTCATCAGCTGGGGTTAGGTAAATGCCGAGGTACTCGGCAGATTTTTTGCAACAATCATTGGGGTTCCCCCTCCCCAGTTTTGGATAATGTCCGGTCGCTTGTCTTGATTAAAAGAGGGGACATTTCTGGAGAAAGGGAGAAAAATTGTTCAGAAATAAGCCAGAAAATGTAAAGATATGACCCTTTCTGTTTTTGACATCTTTCTTTCTTTCTTTCTTTCTTTCTTTCTTTCTTTCTTTCTTTCTTTCTTTCTTCTTTCTTTCTCTTTCTTTCTTTCTCTCTTTCCTTCCTTTCTTTCCTTCTTTCTCCTTCTTTTTCTTCCTTCCCTCCTTCTTTCCTTGTTCTTTCTCCCTCCCTCCATCCCTTCCTTCCTTCCTTCCTCTTCTTCCTTCTCCCCAATAGAATAATTAGCAATCAGTTTATGATGTGTATCTTCTACTCCAGTGTTTCTCAACCTTGGCAACTTGAAGATGTCCGGACTTCAACTCCCAGAATTCCCCAGCAG